ACTTTGGAGGTGTGTAAACATATCCCTGCAAGTTTCTTTGAAAAATAATAGAAGCTGTAATAAAGGCAAAGAGCGGACACACTAAATACTGAAAAAACAGATATTATAATTAGTTGTTAAAGTTTTCGTGTAATTGTTAAATTTATGTTTTCTTGATGCTGGAAAACGAAGAGTGGTCTCTGATTTTTGCACAGTACTGTATTTCATTACACATCAATTCCAGTCATTGTCTCCATATTCAAACAAAGAACAAAACCTCCCAACTGGTCATGCGGCTTAATAATCCAATAGGAGAGTTGTCTCTCTTTAAACTCTGTTAGGAGCTAATATGAAGGCTATAATATCACATTTCCAACAAAGTGCCTACTCACAGCAGTGTCACTGCACAGGTGCTACTGGTCACCTTTGTTCTCAGCAAAGACTTTTTCAAGAGCTCTGCTAAAGGGAGAAGAGACATTATGGCTTCTAATAAAAGCAGTGTTATGGCTTACACCAGGGTCATTCCATGTCAAATCCACAGGGGCGTGACACCATCCATCACACATCTTGGAGCCAGACCATTAGAAGATGGCCTACAAATTGATGTCAAAAGCACAGTTTGAACATTGCATTCGATGAACAAATAATCGTCACCTTCATAAACTATAAAAATGAACATCTCATAAGATCTAATTATGATTGTGATTATAATCATGACATGAATCGCCAGTCCTGTCAGCATAAATGTATTTGGGAAGAAAAATCCAGATGTTTACACTGAGGTTCAGCTAGCTGTTTTGAAGTTCTCTTGCTTTTTAACACTATTATTATTATACTACAGGCCAAAAGTATGTAGCCAAACAGTGATTTTGACAATATTGACAATATTTAATATTCAACCAAAGACGTTTTTGAGGAACATTTCACTGGTTTGCATTACCACTAGTGTGCAATATTATCAAGCATCACAATAAATAAATAAATAAAAATTCCAAAATTATGCAAATTGTTGCTCTTTCATTCTCTTTCATTCACGGTTTTCTTCTTACTGCTTCGCTTAGTTTAATCATTCCCTTTGTACAATTGTTTTAAACTGTGGCTGGTCCAAAACTGTATTAAAATGGAAAAGACTGCACTTGAATACAGCCTATACAAACAGCGCATCACCAAGTAACTTCCTGCAAACATATATTTTGAATGCCACTGTGAAAAAAGTACAGCATAAATGCTTGTCCAGACCAAGGGTGCCAGTTTTGGTTGATTTGATGGACCCTCTCCTACACCATGGACCACACCCAGCTTAGCATACTGAGCTGGATGCTGTATTGTGAGATGCTTAGTATCATCCCTTAATAATCTGTTTTCTGCACAGACGGCACGTAGGCCAACACTGTTAACATCCAGTAGTTTGTGTTTAAAACCAAAATACTGCCAAACTGACATGTTATAAACGATTAAGCAATATTAAAAGCTAACCAAGATGGTAATTATATTACAATCAGGGAAAATGCAAGGTATAGGGTAAGACTACTTGATTACTGAATCCAGATCATGGTTATATTGTTTATCATGATAATTCTGCAGACAATAATCATTCATCTAAAGTTGCATGATCATCCATGCTTAGTTTGCAATGATATTGGCCTGCTATTACTCTAGTGTATAATATGGAAAAAGGCCTCACTGTCTTTGTTGATAACAGTCCCTTATTTGTAAACCGCTAAAGTAACAAGGCTGATTCAGTTAGTCGAGCCTTCACGAAAGGAATCTGAATTAGAATCAGGTGGATTTGATAGAAGAGCAACAAGACAGAGGTAAAGTAAAAGAGAATCAGTTAGTCGTACACCACTGCTGAATACATTTAGTCAAATTGAGTCGTTTTTTATTATTTTATTACAAATAATTAACAAATAACTAACATTATTAGTGCTGCTAAATATCTGATTCAGATCTGAGCCTGTTTGTGTATGTAAATGAGTTAAAGAGCAGCTCTCAACAGAAAGTTATCATGTTAAAAAAAAATCCAAAGAAGTCTAATTAGAAACACAGACAGCGTTACATGAGCTCCACTGTGACCCTTCTCCAAGAAAACAAGAGCGTTCAGCTACACAGTCAGCCTTTGTTAAACAACACAGACAACACAAAGCTCACACCAAAAGCAGCACAAAACACAGCATCAAAGGACGGAGCAGCTATTCATATTCTGCCAGCTACATGTTCAATTGCCTGTGCAGTTTATGCTAATGCTCCCAGCCACAGACAGAGAATATGTGCGCTGAACGCCACAGGGGGTGACACGCTGCTCCACAGAACTCTGAGATCCTGGCAGACGAAACACTGATCATGACAATCAAGACAAGCTCTGGTCAGAAGAACGCCGACGCGGGAATACTGAAGTCCAGCAACGCAAACAGACATGTACCACCTATCAAAGCCAAAGCATAAACCCTGAAATATTGAAGCAACAATTTAGCCTTTTATCTCTCAGACGAGTCAGACCTGAGTAATTGCTTCACTTTGCGTGTCAGGAAAATCTCTTGGGAGCAAACTTTTAGACTAACGCATCAGCTGTTCAACTTCAGACAGTGTATGATTTTTATTCGTTCTTTTTTTTTCAAACACAGAAGATTTTGTGGCCCTTGCAGTCGTGCATCTCCTCAATACAGCCTTGTGTTAAACAGTGTTAATAAGAACTGATGAGGCTGCTGACACAGCTGAACAGCAAAAGGGATTGGTGGGATAATCTGACAAGCTGTGCCTCCAACCAATAGTGGAAAAGCCTCTCTAGTCATGTGACTAACAGCTGTGAATAAAGACACAGTAAAGAGTTTGACGAATGTGAGCTACTAACCTACATGAAACAGGGCACAGCAAATATTATACCATTCTGTTAAGATCTGTTTTTTCACATGGACATATGTTTAACTGGGTTATGGAAACAGATAATTAACTCCAGTAAACAAGTATAGCAAGTCACTGAGGCCTAACCCACTTCTGTGCTTGTTCCAATATGTCCACTCTCACAATACGACAATATGAAAAAGCTTTCCTTTCAGCGCATTGAGAAGAAGATGCCAGATTTACATGCTTTTCTATTCACAATAAAGACATTAGCATGACAAAGTGCAGCATCGTTGCGGTGCGGGGTAACAGCTGGCTCCCTGAATAGTGGAATCGAATGAAAGAGAGAGACACAGTATCACTTCAGGCTGCCTCACCTCATTCCAGCTCCATTTTAATGAGCAAATGTCAAGCTGAGCTCAGAGGACTACATACCTTAACGTAAACTGCACACAGTACAGACTACAGTTAACTTGATCCGTGAGGGTGTCTATGCCAGTAAAACTAGGCTTGAAGGAACAGTCACAAAAATCTATGTCTCACAGTCTTCTTTCCCCATCTGCAGTCAATCAGCCAAGATATATTTGGTATCCAAAGCTATGAGGCTAATGTAATAGAAGTAATATATTTTTGGTTACACAGGTTTCCATTACTTTTTAACATCCTTCGCCTCGTAGCTCCACTGGGAAACTAAAAAAAGTCTCGGCTGATCGTCTGTATTTGTGGTAAAGGGAAAAGCATGTCAAAGAACTACTGATTTAACTGGTGAATAGAAAAACAGTTTTATACCAGGTAGGAATTCTTATAACAATAAAAAACAGGGCCATCAAACAAGTTGTCATCTAGGCCCCTGTGGCTGCCCCCATCACTCAATTTCACTGTTTAGACAGGAACCAAGAGTTATCATAGCAGAATTATTTCCTCCAATGTGCTGTACTCTTACAACGGCATTTATGCTTTCTCAGGCCTATTTTACTCGGTTGCAAGCGGCATTGGCTTTATCCCTGCAAGGGTGCTCAAAACAACCCGAGAAACTCAACACGGCTTTTCCGCTGCATACTGGGCGCTCACTTGGCTGCCTCAGCATTTCAAAGCTAAAACTTTGTGATAGCATCTGTATGTTTCTATTAACACAACAGCTAAATCCTTATAAGTACAGTAGACTTTAAATGCCATATCATGAGCCGCAACCCAGAGGTTCCGTGGCTTATTGTGATTATCTCAACTTTCTCTCAGCAATAACTTAACAGAAATGTCCGTAATTAAACTGATCTTTAAAATGGCCTGTCAGGCATTCTGTCTTTTCAGGACAGAGTATTTACAGCCTATTTAATTAAGGCCAAGCATAGAGTCTTATCTACGAGCATTAGCATACTGCAAAGGAGGATCCGAACATTTGCCCACACAGCAGATTATCTCACAATATATGATAATTGTTAGGCTTAGGCAGCACAGATTGATTACAATTATAGAGTGGAGCATTTCTTTGAGCACTTAGGTGAGAGATGTAGAACCTACCACATATTATTTAACACCAATCATACATATAACTAGGCATATCTGAAGCTCATTCTCAGTCCAGCCTAGATAACTGGTGTAATGCACAGAGTTTCAATAAGCTCTGGCCATTCTCCATATGGTATATTTCTGGTTCTACACTAAAATACATGTCATAGGTATAATGATCAATGACTTAAGGCTTTGATATGACTGATTACATTAGCAAACACAACTCAGGCCACACGGTGCAGGAGAAAGAGTGTTATTAATGTCATGGTCTCGATGTTATCGTTGGGTTTGACAGCTCAAGATTGATGAGCTGGCTAGTAAACCCAGCCTGAAGCTTCGTGCGACTTAAACCACGTTGGAAAAACAAAACAGCCCCATTAAGCCTTTAAACTCACGCCCTTCACTAACTACACAATACAAATGAGGCAAAATGGGGGCTCTTAATGCGAAACCTCTCAGTTTTCGCAACGTGGCCCAACTGAGCCAAAGCTCAGGCTACTTGGTGATCGTTTTCCAGAAAGGAAAAGAAAAACAGAGACGGCTTAGTAGCCCAGCGACCCTTTGCCTCGCATCTTTTCAGTTTTTCTTGGTCTGTTTTCATAGAACAGTCTAAGTTGAGACGCCCAGCCCGTCAGCTGCTGTTGTTTATTATTATCAGTGAAGCTACTCACCAGCGGCTGCATCTCCGAGTTCACTGCTGGCACTTGAAACCTATCGATTTCCTCCATCATTTTGGACAAGTACCCGTCTAACACAGCGTAGCAGCGGTGTTTAAGATGACGTGGCAGCTGAAAAGCGCATTTAATCGGTCACTATTTGGAGCTAGAGGCGTCCATCTCAGTGTGTAAACGGCCGAGTCGCGGTTACGGTTACGGGGTGACTCAACAGCAACATCTCACTTCCGGGAGGCTGGCCCCGCCCACCGTGACAAAATAATAAATAATTCATGAAGACACGCCCATGAGACTCGCCATGGGTTTTATTTATTTATTTATTTATTTATTTATTTACTTGTTTCATTCATTCATTCATTTATTCATTCATTCATTCATTCGTCAGTGTGTTATTTATGTACTTGTTTCATTCATTCATTCATTCATTCATTCAATCATTCATTCATTCCTCAGTGTGTTATTTATTTACGTGTTTCATTCTTTCATTCATTCATTCATTCATTCATTCATTCATTTATTCGTCAGTGTGCATATAGGTAAAACATTTTATTTAGCCATAATGTCTTTGAAATAACTTCTTCTGGGAAAGTACGACACTGAATAAGCCAATCTAAAGCACGTGAACACAGTTTTCAAAATAATCAAAACTGTCTTTAGACTGAAGTTATGAATTTACGTAAGCTACCTTTTTTCAGATAACAATGTCACTGCTGTGTCTGATCCACTCGTACCAGCACAACACACACTCACACACCACCACCAGTGCAGTATTACTGCAGTGCTGAGAATGATCCACCACCCAAATAATACCTGCTCTGTAGTGGTCCTGTGTGGGTCCTGACCATTGAGGAAGAGGGTAAAAGGGGGCTAACAAAGTATGCAGGGAAACAGATGGACTACAGTCTGTAATTGTGGAACGACAAAGTGCACCTATATAGTAAGTGGAGCTGATTAAATGGACAAAGTGTGTAGATACAAGACGGTGTTCCTAATAAAGTGCTCAGTGAGTGTACATAGAAAAACAGATTTGCTTATCAAATTTAGACAAATGTAAAAATATAAGTGTTGTTTAAATTTAGTTCTGCTGTTTCAGACAGCAAGTAGTTCCCCAATCATCCTTACCTTCCTTCTGGAATTTGAGAAGTCTGAGATACCAAAGCTATAAGTAATCATTTGTTCATTTGTTCATTTGTGAATATCCATTTTTTAAAGATTGTTGTTTTCAAATCAAACCTCTAATCTGATTTTCCCCAGAGATTATCATGTTAACAAATCAACAAGCTGTGTTTGATGTGATAATACATCACGCCCGAGCTCTGGGTGGCTAGAAATCTGACCAGAAATCCAAATTTGCATCAATGCTAAGCAGTGCAGTTCCATGGAAAAATATCAATTTTACTGCACACATAAAGCATATATGATGAAATATAGCTGAGAATTAGTCTTATGCTGTTTCAGTATGCAGCAAGTCCAGCAGATGGAGCTATAAGTTAACATATGAAGGGGAACCTGAGTGTACAAAGAAAGCTCTCATTTATGACTCCAAATAGTAAATGCAAATAGTTAAAGAATTCTTGCTTTTCATAAAATGCATACTTTAAATTCAAAGTGTTTGGATAGATACACATTTAGATCCTGTTGCACCATGAGATTCACGAATGTGGTTTATATATTGTGTAGCCTAAGGGGCGTTTTTCCTAGTACACAAAGTACCGGAACATTTGTCACAGATAGCCTGAACTTTGCTTTTTTTTTATTGACCGTCTGTCTAATTCTGAGGTTCCAGTTTGGTACCTGCTCAAGATTTGTACCAACAGGACCTGATGGTATTCGAAGGTGGTCTCCTTTGTCTTTGGTAACATTCTCAGCTGAAGCCAATAAATACTTTTTTTACTCTTCCAGGTGAAGATAGGGTCACAAATTACTATTACGTGGTCAATAGTGAGACACAAAGAATGTAAACTAAACTGTTCATGTGTTGGTTACTATTTTTGGCAATATAAAGAGTTTGCTAAGTTGACATAAGTTAGTAAGCTAAAGCTTTTCATTAGTTTCCATTCTTCATGTTGATTTGTTTGATCTCACCTCTTGCTTGCTTGTCAGTAGGATTTAAAAACCAACAGAAAGTATTTTTGCTGTGAGGACAAGCTGAGGATGGCTCATCCACTAGTTCTCTATCACATGGGGGACCCATGACTTTTACATCTGAGTGTTGGATTCTGAGTCATATGTGTTAGCAGCTGAGTCAGAAGTGACAGAGCAGAAAAAAGACTTAATGTCATTTTCTGAGTTTTGCTAGTTTTTATCCAGGCTGCTTTCATTACAGAAGGTCTTAGTTGACATTAATGGCTCATTCGTGTTCACAGTCAATTTGGTTTTAGCACTTCTGTCACTTTTCTCTCAGTTCTAATTACCTTCCCACTCATAAGTGGTCCTATCTGCTGGGGATCAGACGAGCATGAAAGGGCAAAACCTCAGCACCTTGTCCATTCTGGAAGATGGATAAGTCTGAGATTCACTTATCTGCCCTGAACCAGTGTGAAGCCAGAGTGAGCCAGGTGAAGTGGGGCATACACCGTATAAATTATTCTGATAAAACTAACACTGTACTAGCAGTATAAAGCCAAGTGGAATTACAAGGTCGAGGTGATCATAAATACATTAGCATGCCACAATATAGAACTAATGTAAAGCTGAAGAAACAGTATTATTATTAAGAGCCATCAAATCAATTATGAATCCTGGTGACCATATGGATAGCATTTCTCCAGAATGTCCTGCCTTCTCTTTGGGTCTTTAGGCTTCTTAATGACTTGCTCATAAATCCTGATTGTCTCCATCCATCTTATTGCTCTTCCTTTTTTTTATCATTAACTGGTGCAAGCATAATTGTCTTTTTCAATTAGCTGGTTCTTCTCATACTATGCCCAAAATAAGAGATTCAGCTTGGTTATCTGGGCTTTGAATGAAAGGCAAGGTTTGATTTGGTTAAGGATCCATCTGTTTGTTTTGTTTGCCGCCCAAGGTGCTCTCAAAAGTCTTTGCCAGCACCAAAGTTCAAAGGCATCATTATTTTTCCCTGTCGTGCTTTTTTATTGTCCAGCTTTCCAGAAAAGGCCATAGCCTGGGAAATTCTGATCTGTTTCCGGAGAAACAAATTATTACTTTTGAAGATTAAGTGCCTTCATACTTGTTCTGCTTAATATCAATTTGTGTTGCATTTCTTAAGTGCTGGATCCTTTGTTGTTAACGCTTAAAACTCTCCACCACTTATACTATCTACAGCCACCATCTATCTCTATCTCTTTCTTGCATGTTGTCTTTACCTATGTTTTCTTAATACTTAGCTGAAGTCCTGTCTTTTCTTTCTGTGCTTTATCTGTATCATTACTTTTCTTTATCTTTTTATAAGGGCCTTTCTTGTTCTCTTTTTTTTTGATGAATGTCTTGTCATCTGCATATCAAAGGTTGTTGTTGTTTCTTCCACTAATCTTGAATCCTCGATCATTGTTCTTTTATTTTATGTCTAGCATATAGGTCAAACAAGGATGGTGATAGTATCGCACTCAGCTCTGCCGCCAACTCACCCACCTGCTCGTCAGGAAGTAGCCACCTGGCCAACCACGCTGCTGGCTCGAAAGTGTTACTGGAAGGCCGTGGCCAACTCTGTCAGGCCACCATGCTGCTCCGCAGGCAGATCCTTGCCACTGGCTGCCCCTGTCGCCGTCCTTCCGCTGGGCTCTGGGTAAAGCCTTACCACGATGCATCTTCCACCATTTTCACTGCTGCAGTCTTTGGCCGTGCTCAGGCTTTTCCGCCATCCATCTTTGAGTTCATGGAAGCACGATTCCTCTCCAGGCCAATGGAAGGCACTATCCCAAATCTGACACCAGTGTGACTGACAAAAAAAATAAGATGCAGGAAACACTGCATTGAACAGGAAGCAAAGGATAACCACCACTTAACGTTAGCTGACACAGCTGGGAAGCAAGCAGGTTCCTTCGAGCAATATGCTTTTACTCCATGGAAGACATTTTAACCGACCACATGTTAAAACATGTTAAGCTAACAACAGCAATGACTTATTTAAAATAAATGTCTCTCCTGCTGCAAACACGGGGCTTCCCAAGAGCCTCCTCACATGGCCGCTCTGCATGGCCATACCTCCTGCGCTCCCATGGCAGCGCAGCCAGTTGCCGGACACTACAGTATGCAGCCTTTTAAACTCATTTGTCAATGTGGAACTGGTCAGTTTGATCTTTTTCTGTCATGACTGTGGCTTGTTGATCATGTAGAGGTTTTGTATTGGAGCAATAAGATGCTCTGGCATACCCATATTTCTTGATGACATTTCTAATTTCACATAGTCAATGAAATACATGTTGACTTCTTTCTTGAAGTCCTTGGCTTTTTCAATTATCTCTTGTTTCTCTAGCTTTTATGAATCCTGCTTATACATTTGACAGTTCTATTTCAGTGTAAGGCTCTAGTTTGCGTTGAATGATTTTACTGGCATGTGATATAAGGGTAATTTTGCGATAGAAGAAAAATACAGTGGCATGCACAAACATGATCTGCATGGGAGAGTCATTTGAAAGAAACTTTACCTGTGGCCTCATCAAAGAAGTCAATGACTGAAGTATATAAAGATAAGTCAGAGATATTTTGGAAACAAGAGCTGTGGACTGATGAAGTAAAAATGTCTTTTAGGCCACAATCACCAAAGGTACGTTTGGAGAAAAAATCAGCAGCATGTGATGAAAAGAACACCTTGCTAACTGTTAAGCATGGGGGTGAATGTATTTTGCTTTGGGGTTCTGTGGCAGCCAGTGGCACAGGAAACATTACAAGAGTAGATAAATGGATTTCACTAAATACTAGCAAATTCTGGAAATAAATGTGACACAGTCAGTTAGGGAACTGAACCAGAAAAGAGACTGGCTTCTACAACAGAACAATAATCTAAAATATACCTCAACATCCACCATGAACTACTTCGGGAAATCCCTGCTGAAGCTTTCCCCTGACTCAAACATATTTGAAAATCTGTGGGTAGATCATAACATGCTGTGCATGCAAGACAGCCCAAGACTGTTGATGAACTACAAGTGTTCAAAAAGCTCTTGCAAGCTGTGATATCTGCCCAACGGGGTGTTATTAAGTACTGACTTAGTAGGGTGTCCAAAGTTTTGCATATGGCACAGATGCTATTTTTCTCTATTAT